ACACGGCGGGGGAAGGAGCACCGAGCTCGGGCGGCAGCGGCCGGGGAGCCCGGAGGTCAGTGCTCTCTCAGGCAGGGGCAGGGCCGCGGTAGCGGAGCGGTGGGAAGGCCAAGCGTGAGGAGGTTCTTCCCCTCCTTTCCCCTCAGCGGAGGAGGCGGGCGGCTGCACCTCGGTACAGACACCAGCGTCCCGGTGCCCTGAGCGGGTTTAGCATCCCCGGCAGCGCGGGATGGAGGAACTGCAGAGCAATGAGGCGCTTTCTCCCTGAAGCAGTTCGCCTCGAACCCCGGTTTCCAATCCCTAAAGCTGCTCCTGGGATACTTCCCGGCTTCCAGCGGCCAGGGGTTGGTGCAGAGCCAGAAGAGGAGAGGAGTGATCTGCTGCTGTGAGGTCAGGGTAGAAGCTGAGATGACTGGAAATTTCCTGGCCTCTGGCGCCGGGTGCTGCGGGCAGCCCGGAGCTGCTTGTGCGGGGAACTCGCTGTGTAGCCAGGAGAACGAGCTGTGATTGATGTGCAGCTTTAGTTTCCTTTCCTACTGACTGCATGCACAGCCTTCCCTTAAAGCAGTCTGGCCACGATGCCCACAGCACTGAGGGGGTCAGTTCACTGCTCTGCTCTTGGGAAAAAGAAAATAACGGTGATTTTCTAACAAGGCCACATTAAGGTTTGATTTGTTCTAGAGGGGCATCCTGTGTGGAGCTTGCGTTCTGATTAAGGAGCAGTGTTCACAGCACAGTAACTTCTAATTCTTCCATGTTTCTTTTGGACAAATCCAGGTATCCCACCTCTTGAAATTTTGCAGAGGATGCATCTGCCTGCACCTTCACCTGCTCTTTGTTCTCAACCAAAGACTGAGCTGCCTTCAGTTTCCGTTGCCTTTCTGGCTTGGTTAAAGCTCTGTGAACCTACAGGGTAAGCAAGGGAAGGCAAGTGTGTGTGGGGGACTTCTATGGAGCCGTGGCTATAGCAGGTGCCCAGGGGAGGAGGATGAGTACTCCAAATGGATTCCCACAGCACTCAGGGACTTGTGTTACTCAGAGCATGGAGGGTGGAGCAGTCCAGGACCTGCACGCTAAAAAAGCTGGCAAAGCAGCAAAGAAGGAGGCTGGCAGCAATGGGATGCTTACCTTTGGGGATGCTCCAGGTGTAGGCACCTCTTTAAATGAGAACATAAAGCTTCTACCAGGTGAACTGAAAGCTAATATGAAAATTAAGTCGTTCACTCCAAGACCTCCTCGGAAGCCCCGGCTGGAACGCGCTGCGTCTCTGGATGAGAAAAGCTGGAGGAGATGGAGACGGTTTAAAACAAGTCAGGAAAGTCTGACTGATCCCAATGAAACGAGTTCCTCAAATGGTTCCCTGCAGGAAGCATCCCTCAGCCCTCCCAGGGGTAGGGCAAGCCCCTTCCACCAGTGCTGCCAGCAAAACTCCTTGCACAGTTCATCAGACGCCTTGGAAGCCAGTTCCTTGGGGAAGAGCAAAGGAGGCACCTCCGACCTGGGGAAACGAGCCTCTGAGATCTCCGTTGCCTTTGGTGGGCTCCTGAAGGGGAAGACATTTGTGGGCAGCAAACCCAGGCTGTCCCAAGTAATGCCAGCTCGACCTCTGCCACCTCTGGAGCTGAACGTGGGCTCTCGGGCACTGAGGACAGCTAATAGGATTGATGCAGATTGTCTGGATTATCGACATTCTCAGCCCAGGTTCGGGAGGGTGAGCAGCAGCTTGAGCGATACCAGGCTGCATGGCACCGGGATGGTCTATGATAATTGCTCCACAGACTCCATGAAATCCACGTTCAGCCTCCTCACTCCCATTCGCTCCAAGGATGTCCGAAGCAGGTATGTCCTTCAGCTTCTCCTGCCCAAGTCTGGGGGGTGGTAGCAGGGATTCCCCTGAGGAATCCTGCTGGGCAGAGGCAGGGAGCTTCCCACTGATGGGTGAAGCACACAGGTTGTTCCGTGTTGTTTAACCTGCTGTGGAGAGTGGAGACAGTTTGAAGATGAAGAGATTAGTACAACTGTTCTATATTTGCTCCTTTCATCTTGGTATTGTTTTTCATAAGTTTGATTTGCAGTTTGCTTGCTCGTAATGTTTAAGTAACCTGTTTTAAAAATACACAAACAGTAGCTGTCCATGCTAACTGTTTTTAAATCTAAAAGTACATGGGGCTTGAACTGCAATGGTAAAGGGCAGGAAAAAAACCCAGATATGATTATTAGCTTGAAACTTTCACGTGGTATATGCAGTACTATCACAATCCTGTAAGGTACTGAGCAGATGTTGAGCATGTTTGACTTCTGGCAGGATCAAATCATGTCCAGTGAACTGCTTCAGTGTCCACAGAAGCTCCTCTGCCTCCACTTTTCCAGGAATCTCAAGGCCTTGAGGGATAAATCTGGTAATTGATCCAACTAGTGGGAGTCAGTGGTACAGGGGAAGATAATTCTGAGAGAAGTTGAAGTGTTGCTAACTGGTAAAAAAGCCTTGAAAGATAGATTGTCACTTCTTTGCCATGAAGGGTTTTGTTTCACTTCCCTCTGGGAAGATTGTTGGTGTCAGGTGAGCAGCTGGCTGAACCAGTGAGATGCACAGCATCCCCTGACATCATGCTGAAATCATCATTTGCAGAGCTTAAGCAAGATTAAAAATAGCTGTTCCTCTGACAGCCCTTGTGCCTCTTGCTTCTGTAATCAGTGTTCTTTGGAGAGTCAGTTGTTGTGGGACAGATCTGTCCTTTTCAAATGTGATGCCCTTTTAGACCTCAGGCTCAATAAATCATTTACTTAAAAGCTCATTTGATGAACTGAACTGAAGGAAGAATGTCAGTCTGAATCCTTGATCAGCAGAAACTTGGTGCCAGAACACTGGGAATGATGGAGCTATTTTCATGTTTTAAGTAAACTGAGCTCCTTCAAGATACTCAAACACCAAACCAACCTCTTTGTTTTGTGTCTGTGGTGAGTCCTGGAGGGACTGAAGGCTTTGGATGGCTTCAGTCTTCTCATCACAGAAGCTGTGCAGCATCAGTCTCACCATCCTACCTATGTCCTGCTTTTGAAAAGGCTGGTTTATGACAACAGTTTTGTTTTCTTGTATATAATCCATGAACTCTGTATTGGTTGGAACTTTATGAGGAACTTTAGATAAGCAAAATCTTTTATAAATATTAAACGCCATTTTCTTGAGCTAAAGATATGTTCTTGGTTAACTCAAGATTCAAGCATTATAAATCATTATTCCAACTGCCAGGCCATTTCCTGAGATGCTCTTTTTGTGGGACTTCTCTTCACAGAAGCTATTTGGAAGGTAGCCTTCTGGCAAGTGGTGCCTTAATGGGAGCAGAAGAACTTAGCAGATATTTTCCTGATAGGAATATTGGAATTTTTGTGGCCACCTGGAACATGCAGGGTCAGAAGGTGAGTGCCCATAAGTTTCCATGGGTATTTGGAGCAGTAAGGTTACCCCATCTTTACTGCAGGAGCTGGTGTGGTGGGTTTTTTTCTGTTCCTGACTATGTTCATTGTCAACCTGGACTTCGTACTTTTCTAGTAAATCTTTTCGTAACTAACATTGCCACTTTAACTTCTTTATTTTCTTTTTAATAATAGGAACTTCCAGTGAATCTGGATGACTTCTTATTGCCAACAGATCCTGACTATGCCCAGGATATGTATGTCATTGGGGTTCAAGAAGGCTGTCCAGACAGGTAGCAAAAGCAATGTAATGAACCATCCTCTTTTTTTGTTAACTATTTGTTTTGGTTTTTATTAGTCTGGAAGTAGTCTCCATCATATTCTTAGTATTTTCACTAAATAGCTCATTTAATAAGACTTTAATTCCATTGCATAAACACCAGGGGACATGGGTTTGAGAGGAAAATATCACAAAAAGCTGTGAATACAGAATTTGTTCCTGTTGTCAGGGCAGCCAACAGCAAAACTCCTGCCTGATTTCTGTGGGCATCTTACCACAGCTGGGGATAAGGACAAGAAGTAATGGATCAAAACTGGAAGAGGGGAGATTTAGGTTAGACATTAGGAGGAAATTCTTCAGTGTGAGACCAGGTGGTGAGACCCTGGAAGTTTGCCAGGGAAGCTGTGGCTGCCTCATCCCCAGAAGTATTGAAGGGCAGGTTGGATGGGGCTTGGAGCAACCTGGGCTGGTGGGAGGTGTCCCTGCCCATGCGGGGGGTTGGGACTGGATGATCTCAAACCATTATATGATTTTATTATGTGCCATTCTGTATGAGAGGGATTGCTCCATTCTCACAATACTGATTTCCTTTCCTGGTTGTTGTCTCCTGTACTGTCCTTGTGATCCAGCTGTTGTTCTTTCCTGCAGAAGGGAGTGGGAGATCCGGCTGCAGGAGACCCTGGGCCCACACTATGTCATGCTCTACTCTGCTGCCCACGGGGTGCTCTACATGTCAGTCTTCATTCGGAGGGACCTGATCTGGTTCTGCTCAGGTGTGTGGTTTAGTAAGAGCTGGAGAGTGGGGAGGTGAAGGGACTGCTGCCATCCCCTGTCTTGTCCTTTTCTCCAAGGCTATTCCTCACCTGACTTCCCTGCTCTCTGTCTCCAGAGGCCTTTCAGTAAAAGCAGCTTCTTTTTCTCCTTCCAGAAGTGGAATATGCCACGGTGACAACTCGAATTGTATCTCAGATCAAAACCAAGGGAGCTCTGGGAATCTGCTTCACGTTTTTTGGGACCTCCTTTCTCTTCATCACCTCCCACTTCACATGTGAGATGTTTTCCATGTGCTTAAAAGTGTCCTGAGGGAGGGAGGGGGGACAGGAGGGTTGCTTTACAGAGATAAAAAAGGTGCAGGAGGATGGAGAAGCAGGACAGGCTAAAGTCGAAGCTCAGGATTGCTGAGCTGAGAACAATAAGGAAGGAGAGGTTTTTTTGTAGCAAACTTCCCAAAGAACTGTGTTTGGAAAAACAGAAATGAACTCTGCACACTTGTGTCCCCTTTTTCCACACTTACTGACATTATTCTTCAGTCTGTATGCTCCCTGGGTCAGAGTGTTACGTTATACATGGGGAAAATGTCTGATGTCCTTTGGAAGCTCCTGTTATAACCAAAAATGATAATTGAATGATAATGATGGCAGGATTGGGATGTCTGTCTTTCAGCTGGGGACAGCAAGGTGAACGAGAGGAAGCTGGACTACAATAAAACCATTCAAGCCCTTACACTTCCCAAAAACGTTCCGGACACAAACCCCTATCGATCCAGTTCTAGTAAGTGTGAAACCATGTTTATCTGGGAGCCCAAAAGGACAGAGTTTGTACATTGTCCTTCAGTCTACACTAAGGAAAAGAGATGGTATAAAAAGAGACCACGTGTCTTTTTGTCTGAGGGTGGTTACTGTTCACTTTTTTTTGCTTCTTTAGGCAGGGTGTAATTTCCAGGGGAATTTGAGAGATTAACTGGAGAGGGAGAGAGAAAATGAAGGAGGGATTTTCATGTGTTGTATGTTTTTATCAGAACAGCAATAAGATAATTTTGGTATCATTTTTATTAATACTGTGGAAGTGTTTAACTTTCCAAGTGTTTTCTGGAACAAATACAAATTGCTTATTTCAAAACTTAAATTATTTTCATTTGCATATACACAGATCAGTGTTTGCCAGATTCCATTATTGTTCCATACTGTGCTGCTGACATGATGTCTAGATATGCAGCTAAGCCCTTTTTCTAGAAAAGTTAATTTACTGCTTTATCTGCAGTGTAGCATTAGGTTTCTGTGTTCTTACTATTTTTTAGGTCCTATAGATAGTTTGGTCTCTTTAGCTTTTTCAGTGATTTTTTAAAATATCTGATCTGTTCTCTGTTGTTCTTTATTACCATGTTCTGTAATGGTCACAAGCAGAAAACATACTCAAATATTTTATCTCTTGGTAGTCAAAAGAAAGAATTTATGCCTTGCTTCTTGAACATATCTGGCAGCACTCTCAGTGAGCTGTGCATCTTACAGCTCTGACTTTGAAAGAATTACAAGAGTTTCATTTTAATGAGCTACATGATACACTTTAATTTTCCTTGAAAGTCAAAAGGAGATTCAGGGAAGAAAAGCTTGGGATTTTTAATTTATTTTTTTTTCCTTCAGAACTTTTCAGGGTGTTTTACCTTTATACTGACCCTCCTGGCTTGAATTTTCAGGTGATGTCACAACTCGATTTGATGAAGTGTTCTGGTTTGGTGACTTCAACTTCCGACTAAACAAGGATCGTGAGACTGTGGATTCCATCTTGAACCAGAACCCAGACACAGACGTGTCCAAGCTACTGGTGTATGACCAGCTCACTAGTGAGATGAACAGGGGTGAGGAACCTTTTTCTCCCCAGCTGCCAGGAACGGAAATATCTATGCACAAAAATTACTACAGCCAAATCCCTGTTTTCTGGAGGCCTTTGCTGCTTTCTCTTGTCACGTTCCCTGAAAAGGGAAGTCAGCAGCTGTCACATCCAGTGGCAGTCTGTGCTAGGGAATTTTTGCTAGAGTATTTTGCTAAACCATTTATTGCTGTTTCATCTGACACCTCTGTGAACTGAACATCTTTCTCTGACGGCATCCAAGGCATTTAGATGTCAATAGCTTGTATTTGCAAAGCATCACGAGCTTTCAACAGAAGAGCAAGTGCACTTACCAAGTGTTGTTTCAATAACCACTGACTAGCTTTTCATCCTTGCTGGAGCTTCCTCCCTCTCCAGAGCCCAATCCCATGTTTTTCCAGTCATGTCTGTATGTCTCTGCAGTTTCTAGCCAGCATTAGTTAAGCAGTGTTGAATGAATGCAGAAAGTGTGGGAGATTCCCTCTCCAGAGCCCAATCCCATGTTTTTCCACTCATGTCTGTATGTGTCTGCAGTTTCTTGCCAGTTAAGCAGTATTGAATGAATGCAGAAAGTGTGGGAGATCCTTAGGAAGAAGTTTGTTGTTCATTCTGTTCTCCCCTTCCCTTTCAGGGTCTATTTTCAAAGGATTCCAGGAGGCTGACATTCATTTCCGTCCTTCCTACAAGTTTGACATAGGAAAGGACAGCTATGACACCACCTCCAAACAAAGGACTCCTTCCTACACGGTAAGGGGTGATTTCAGAGCAGATTTCAGAGTGCTCAGACGGGCTGCTCAGCCCCACATCTGCCTCCAAAGGGGGTTCTCACCTCTGAGAAAGTTGGTCTGTATGAGAGGCAGCCATGCTGAGATTTGTTGCTTAAAGGCAACAGGACATGTGGAAATGGTTTGGAAAAAAGGACTGCAGAATCTGGGAGTGCAGGAAGAGTTTGGCACAGGCTGTTCATCTCATTTTCCCTGCCTTCCATTCTGTCCCAGTGCATTCTCCCCTGCGCTCAGGAGAGAGAACCACTGTTGGGATCAGACATGCATTCCTCATGAATGTGTCCCTGTCCAAGACACTTCATTTCACTCTGAGTGGGGTGTGATCTATGATGGGATCTGTCTCCTGTGAACCAGTGGTGCTTTCCAGGGTGGCTGCACAAAGGGAGTTACCATCAGTCTCTCTCCCTGCCCGCAGGATCGCGTCGTGTTCCGCAGTCGGTACAAGGACGACATCCAGGCAGTCAAGTACTCCTCCTGCCCTGGGATCAAGACTTCAGACCATCGCCCTGTGTTTGCCCTGTTTCGGGTGAAAGTGAGGCCTGGCAGAGACAAGTTAGTACCTCCTTAACCATTTCATATGATTGCAAATGGCTCCAGTGATCCTGAGGATATATATACTCCTCCTTGGAGTTTGTCCTCCTAGGAAAGTCCCTGGAATAGAGTTAAACCTGTGTAGGTCTCTGCAGCCTGTTTGGTTTTCACCCAGTGTGTGCTGCCAGTGGTCAGAGCAAGAGCACTTAAACCTTGCACTGACATCTGAAATCCCTGCTGCCAGGTCCCTTAATCTTCCTGAGGGAGATAAACAGAGGCCACTGCAATTCACTGTAAATCTCTGTTTGCTCTGGGATGCAGCTCTCTTTTTCCTATCAGCATGGACAGCTTTCCTCTGCTGTTCCACTTTCCCTCTTCGCTGTTTTCTCTCCCCAGAGGTGGCTGCATTTCAGCACAGCTGTATGTGACTGGAGTATTCTGAGATCCTCCAGGTTTCCTAATGTCCCATCCTGGGCTGCTGTGCTAGTAGAACTCCTTAGAAAATTTGGTCACTGAAATTTAGTTAGTTCCTTTTCTGTGAGTAGCACTCTCAGGGATTTCAGGAGCCAGTTATCCAGGGAATGGTGATTTCTGAAAGCACTTGCTCAGCAGTGCAATTAGAATTGGGATTTGTTTGAACCCTGCTAGTGAATACACCGAGGAACCTAGGTCAGCCTTTCAAATGAGTGTTTTCTGGTTCAGGGACATAAAGAATGTCCTCAGTCTATGGCCCGTATGAATGCAGGCATGTTCATGCTGTAATTATTACAAATAATTGTATAGTAAGATATTACAGTCATAATGAAGATAACTTGTAATTATTAATGTATTAAAATACAATTTATTATGATGTTATAATAATTATAACACAATTATTAACTATTCTTAATTTAAATGTGTTGTGAAAAACCTGAACTTGTTGCTGCAGAAGAAAAACTGTGTTTTCCCATTTTCCCTGAATGCCTTAAGAAAGTAAAAACTAGGTTTCTGGCCTTTGTTGCATGAACTAGTTGGGAAATGTTGGGCAAACAAGAAGGATGATTTTGTGCCCTGATCTGATTGCCTGTTTTCCTCTCCTAGCATCCCCCTGGCTGCAGGGCAGTTTGACAGAGAGCTCTATTTAATTGGAATAAAGAGGCGAATCACAAGGGAACTTCTGAAGCGGCAAGAGCAAAAGGACCAAAAATCCAGCAGCATATGTAGTATTTCCTGAGCTGGGAGCTCTGCAGAGCTGGTGTCAGAGGTGCCCACAAAGCGGATTTCAGGCCACCAGGAAACTCTGCAGGGAATTGTCTGCTTAAGCACCTCTGGCAGTTGCTGTGGCTTGTGAAGAATGTCTTAAACCTCATCCTGGATTCATTTGCATGAGCTAATCCATGTAGCTCAAGTGCTTTTGCTGAAGAAAATGGAGTTGGTTATTTAGAACATCCATCCCAACAGATGTAATTGGTTTATTTTTAACATTATCATCTTTGGAAGCAACCGGATGCAGAGTGACTCCAGATGGGGGGCACAGCTTCAGGAACTGGCATGACTGGGGGCAGGGGACCAAAGAAAAGCCTGCAGAAAGGTGAACGTTCTGTCTGTCTGTCTGTCTGTGTGATCTGGTGAGCTTACATACCTTGTGGGGTTGTTGTGGGGTTTTTTTCTCCTTATCTGTAGCCAAGTGTGTATTGTTCTGTAAAATGTGTAAAAGGGACCAGTTAGGGGATTTGAGCAGTTTTGTGTAAGGATGGTGCTCCTGTGTTGGGCTTTTTTGGTCCTCCACAGCAAGACTTGTGTGAATGTACTACTGTACATTCTAAGTGTAGAAATGTTGCCTTTCACTTACTCTATAGGCCTTCTGTTACCGAGGGGGTAAATACCAGTTTCTCACACCAGGTATTTGGCTGCTGAGACTGCTTGAAACAATCCCTTCCTTAACTCATTTGCCCTTCCCAGGGGTGATGAAACATCACCTGCCTTCAGCAGCAGGACACTTGGGTTGAGAAGAATGGTCTGAGTGCAGCTCCAGTGCAGTGCTTCACCAAAGTGGTTACGAGGTCAGGTGAGTCCTAGGGACAGGGCAGTTCTAGTACCTCTGATTACAGTTTATTCCTTTTGGGTTTATTTTTCCAATTCAATGAACTTTTTTTTTAAGTAGTGTTGTCTTAAGGCTAATAAACATACTACACAGACCAGTATGGCACTGGTGAAATGCTAAGTACAGCTAATACTTAAAAACTCCTCATGGGCACAGATTGGCTGGTCACTAATCACCTTAGTAGATAAATGCCATGCAAACTAACTTGGAGGAAGTGCTGCTAACTATGCAACCTGTCCAAGACAGAGCTTCTGTTCTGCAGTACAAACATCTATGGCACTGACCTGTCTGTAGCCATCACGGCTTGGAAGTTCCTTTCTTTTTAAAGGAATAAAAATAAATTAATGCAATACCTTAAAGGAGCACCAGCTCTTACTGCAGAGTTGTGAGGAGTTCTTTGACTGTGTGATGCATGCTTACCCTTTGGGTGACCTGAGCTATGTGTCTTCAGGTGGGAAAGTGGGACAGATTTCTTTGGGATTGTTTGCATTGAACAAACAAAGCACGTCTCACCTGCCAGTTGAAGAAACCCAGCCAGTAGCTGATGAATTTCAGAACTCTTACTACTTGCTCCAGTTATTTAGAGGTCTCTTTATTTTCTTACAAACATACACAGTAACTGAACAGAACTTCCATACTGTGGGTTCCACAAGAAGCAATAGATTTTTTCTTTCAGTTGCCTGAGGAAAGATATGGGGATAAAGCAGGGAATAGCTGCCTCAGTGTTCTGCTCCCAGTTTGATTGATTCTTACCACACACATCTAGCCAGGGAGGTGCTGCAATGCAGCTGGCTACTCTTTTTAAGCCCATATTATTAGGGCATTATGTACATCAAATTCCTCTCCTTTGGGTCTACTTCAGGATGTCAAATGCATAGCACTTAACTGTATGTCTTTCTGTAACATGGGTGTTGGTCATTTTCAAGATCGCAAGCTTTCTAAGTGTTGTTTTGTTGATCTTAACTTCTAGCCCACCAACATCTCTGCTGTTACTGACAATTGTGTCTTCTCTTTGCAAGCCCTTCAGTTCATCTGAGTGACAGTGAAGAAAGTAGGTACGAGTTCAAGGTGCAGCAGCAACTCCTTTAATAACTTACTGTTTGTATCCCAGGTCTGCAGTAAAAACACTTTTATTCTTTAGCACAGTTCATACACAAGTGAAAAAAACCTGAAGAATGGGATTGCTTTCCTTCTAGAGCAAGTGTCCATGTAGCATTATGCAAAGTATCTCTGGAGATTAACTCCACAGAAACTTACAGGAAAGCAGACACATGCCATAACTGAGCTCCAGCAAAATTATGAAGTTATTTCCAGACCCATTACTTCCAGTAGTACTACAGCTGGTAAATTACACTGATTAAATGCATCCATACTTGTAAACAAAACCTGGGCTGCAGGAAACTTGTTGCCTAACTTCACATGGATAATAACTAGTATTTTCCTAATTCAGTTTGGTCAAATCTATGTTCATCTTGCAAATATTCTTTGAATTCAACTAGGTAACCCAAGGCCCTTAACAGCACTTCCAGCAGTGTTTCTATGCCCGTGTAACTGACAGCTCAGAGAGCATCTCACTACAGCACCTCCTGTCACACTCGACTGCACCTTCTTTACTAACAGGTCCAGTGATCACCCTGGTGAGGAAAGATAAGATGAACACACCGTTTTACTTTTAACAGTGATGTAGCCTGAAGTCTGTCCTTTAATCCCCACAGGCAAGGGAAGGGCACATGCCAGGACCTCCAAGTGTAACAGCTCCACCTCTGCTGCTGGCAAGATAACACACCTCAGATACATGTTTTCAGTTGCAGTGATGAGTATTTGGGCTTGCAGTGTTTCCCCAGTGCCAAGAGAAGGTTGTTTACACCCATCTGCTCTTGTAACCTACTCAGAGGGTCAAAGTACTCCTCCAGAGCCAGGGTGGGCCTTTGAGCCCAACAGGAGCTCTTCACAGCCCAGTGTTCTGAAGCAGCTTTGTCCAGCTGTAGCACAGCTCCCGGTTTGCACAGTAAGGATGGAAGGGCAGGGTGTGCAGCAATATTATCATCTCAAAAACGTATTTAAAAAAAAAAAAAAAAAAAAAAAGCAGCAAGTCCCTCAGGTGTCTGCAGGGGTCTCTCTCTGCAGGGGTCTCTCTCTCTCTCTCTGCTTCATCGGAGGAGCCGGTAGAGCCGCGGGAGCCGCCCATCCTTGCTGGAAAGCGCTGCCTGGATGTGTTCGTACGTGGGCAAATCTGTTAAGTCACCTAGGGCAGCCACAGCTGGTTTTTTATGAAGCATCCTAGTGACCACTCTCTTGATATCAGTAGATTTCACCTGACCTGCAGGAAGAAATAAAAGCCAACGCTGTGACAGCTACATTCTAAATAGCAGAAAGCAGCTTTAAGATGATGCCGAGTCAGACCCCGTGCTCAGAAAACCAGTCACTAACCCTAGATCTTCTCTACCATGCTGCTGTTTTGGGTTTTTTTCCTTCCTTCTGACAAAAAGAGTAACTTTGCTGGCTTGCAAGCAATTGAGAAGAGCACTTTGAAATATTTATCTGCCCCCAGGCTTCCTAAGGCAATTCATCTGTGCTACAAGAATATGTTGTAAGCTGCTCTTCCCTCATGCAGGGGCACCTGCAACTCAGTCGAGGCAAGGAGCAGCAGAGTCTACTCACTGATGAGGTCGCAGAGCTCGTGAGGCAGCTTCCTTGTGTTTGTTGCCAACACTTGCCTTCCCACATCCTCAAAGATCACTGGTCGAGACTCAAGGTTCATCATGAGCATGGACTTCAGCTGCGTCTTCGCTCGCTCAAGTTCTACCTGGAAACGAGCAGCAAATACAAACAGATGTTCAAAAAAGTCTGGCCAGTGCTCTCTCAGACAAGATAGCACCTAAGAGTTCTGGAAACATCTTTGTGAATGTGTTGGCTAAAGTTTCTATCTTCTTTTAGAAACATGTAACATACTCATCTACAAAAATTCATTCTAGCCCGGCCAGTGCAACGCAACATTTGAGCTGAAAGACCTGCAGAGGCTGCAGGGGAGGCTGCTGACCTCTCCTACTGCTCCTGCCATCAGGATGAATTCTCTGGTGATGATTTCCACCATCTCTCGAACCTAGGAAAAAGATAATGGAAAGATTAGAACAATGCTTATTCCATCAAGCTTCCTTGCTGGTGCTAAGTGGTGGGATTATTTCTTCAGGACACCTGTATTTGGATACAGGACTGGATACCTGCTTTGGATCAGCACTGGCATGTATGCACAGGAGACCTGTATCCTCATAGCTGTGGTGGTAAGAGGTTGCATTATACATCCAGTGGTGCCTGTGAATATATAAACAGTATTTTAAAAACTCTAAACCCCAGAATTTAAATGTAAAAATTAAACCAATGTGGACAGTGAGTCCCCTCCTAGTGCACTGTCAGGATTCTCAGGAGTGCCAAGGAGGATTGTCAGTCCCTGCCTCTGGCAATCTCTGTGTGCACCATCTGCTTCCTTCTCTCCACTTGCATCTCTGAGACCAAATCCAGAACAACAGAGCAGCACTGCTGGCACCTACTGCCAGTTCTGTTGGCATCCCCTGATGTAAGGATGGATCGTGCTACTGGAAACAGGATTCCTGGTCACTTCTGCCTTTTCACCCTCTCAAAACATCCACTGACAAGTCAGTCTGGCAGGTTTCAAGTGCAATAAGCTAATGTAAACCTGTGGGTGTTGGCTCTCAAGAGGTGAAGACTTCCACGTGAACCTGCTGGAGAAGACTGTTTCTGCCTGACAGAGACAGGCAAACAAACCTGTTGAGCACATTGAGGTACAGCCGGGTGAACATGCCCTTGCCAGGCCCTCCAGCTGAAAAGGAGCCACCACCTCCCATCATCATGTTCAACACAGCAAAGGGAATGAAGTCTTCCTCCTGCATCACAACAAACAACTCAGTGAGGCAACAGCAGAGCTCCCCAGGGGCTGGGATGAGCAAGGAGTAAGAAACATGGGTCAATAAGAGCATCAAGGTCAGTGCCTTCATCAAACTGTCAGTGGAAAAGCTGCTTGTTGGTCCGTGCAGCATCAGCAGCAAGTGCCAGTACAGGAGTACAGGGCACACAAACCAACAGATTTTAGGTTGATACTTACTAAAAATGAGCAGCTTTCTAACCCAATCATGATGTGGGTAAGCTCTGGGATGGGAGTAGGGCCCAGACTCACATCTGACATATCTTTTTCAACCTGTGGGAAGGGCAGACAAATTATCAGGATTGATTTTTCACCTCATCCAGCACGATATGTTCCCAACAATTAACGTGACACCCAAATAATAACTGTCATGGCCAGGTTTGGAGCACACTCATGAACAAGATGTACATTTAGAAAAGCAAAGCCATGGATAAATCAGCTCAAGTCCAAATCTGCATCTCCAACAGAGGAAGAGGCTTTACCTTGACAATGCCTCCCGTGTACTGAGCCACAGATCTGTCCACATCCTTGCTCTGCCCACTGCCCCACGCTGGCTCCACTCCAAGCAGGTATTTCTTTGCACATTCCACTAACTCCTCGTGCTCAATTCCCACCCCAGCCAGCACCATCCTGTCTGGAGTGTAGTAATTGGCCAGGTAGGAATGCAGGACTTCCCGACTGATTTTGTCAGTATTTTCCACTGGGCAGAACCTGTTCAGTCCAACTGTATTGTCTCTGTAGGCTGCCTAAAAGGAAACAGATTAAAGTAAAAACATTACTTCACTCCCCTCCATTTACACCTTCTCTTTCTAAAGTTTTAGAACTATGCCTGCCTGTTTGAGACAGGTAAGAGAGGAAAGGCTGAGTATTATTTCACTAATGTCAGAATAAATCAACATGTCATCCATGTCAACAAAGATAGGTTATAGATAAGTTTAGTCTGGGTTAAAATCTTTCATGTATGTAGAATGTAAGATTTCAAAGTGGAGGGACAGCAAAATTCTCCCTCTCACCACTGAAATCTGAGAAAAAGAAACATCTGTTTTAGGATAGTCTGAAATAAACCCTGAAGCTGAGGAAAAATGGAGGGAGAGGATGCAGCAATGTCTCAAGCAGGGGATGGTGCACAAGGTGGACTTCTCATTGTCTTACTGCATGGATCATCTCAGTGAGGAGAGGCTCTGGATCAGGTCTCATGTTCAAGTCCTCAAGCTCAAAGCGTATTGCTGTGCGAGTCATCTCCATCTCCTCATCTGCATCAAGAGGGAGAGAGATAGCAACCACCTCCCAGAGTACCCCACTGCTACACCATAACCTCTGATGAGCACAATCTAACGAAGAATTCTGAACTCTAAAAGCAAGTCACACATTGGCAGACTGTTTTTTTTTGAGCAGAGACTTAAGTTTCCAGACCTGAGAGCCTGGGCTGCAGTGCTACATCAGCCAGCAAGTTGACCACAGTGTCCAGGCCTCTGGCTTCAGCAGAAACAGCATACATGATGGTGTCCCTGCAACACAAGCAGAGGGGTCTGCACTGAGAAGGCAGTAAACTGCATCAGGAAATCACACAGAAAGCTGCCTGACCATTACTCATGCCGTGGTTTCAAAAGGCAACAGAACTGACTTTCAAAACCCTTTCAGTCTCACTTCTGCAGATGCTCAGCAGGCACCACAAGTGGATTTTGGCTGCTTAGAAGCAAAAAGCAGCTTTTACTGTCGTGCCAGGAAAAGTAATTCTAACTACTGTCAGTGTTGCAACCTCTCAGGCACAGAGAAAAAGCATCATACCTCGATGCCTGGCAGTCACAAATGCCCCCGTGCTTTTCTAAGGTGAGGAGAATTTCATCTTTGCTGCCAAACTGAGCTGTGGACTAAGAAAGAAGAGACCAGTGTTATTAACTAGTAAAGCCATACGTGGTTATAATCCTTCAGCGTAGCCCAGAACAAGCATCATCATCTTCTACTACCTTGGAGAGGAAAGCACCACAGACCTTCCAAATGTAATTATGCTCCAAACAACGAGCCGGGGCTGCAGGATCCGGCCCTGCCCCCGGATGGTGTTTCAGGACCCCCAGCCCCGCCCTGCTGCCCGCTACTCACGGAGAAGGCCAGCTTTTCCAGGAAGTGGGAGATGCCACTGAGGTATTTCGCTTCATGTCTTGATCCTGAATTTACAAGCACTAGTGCGAACAAGAGAAGAGACCAGCGTGACTTTCACACCCCGGGTCCTTACCGGGGCCAGGCCCCGCCCGGGTACTCACAGCCAACGGTGCAGAACTGCCCGAACTTGTTCTGCGAGGCGACCCGCAGCCCGTTCTCCAGCAGGGTCACCCGCGTCTCGAAGCGCTCGGGGCCCCGCGCGGCC